ACTGCTGTTTGAATGGTCATGTCGCATTAAATCCGTCTTTTATGTCACTGACAGGAAACATATGCCAATTATCAGCGCTGAAGAAGCGTCTGAGAAGACATTGAGAACACATGAGCGCTTTGTGTCCATCCCGTGTAGATGTTAGTGAAACTGTTGGGAAGACAACGTGAACATTTATTTATACTGTGTAATCTGTAGATTCTGACAGAAATCTGCATATCCTTTGAAGCACCGCTCCCCTCTAAAACGGCAATAAGGATCATTATTAGGCCATTTGTAAATAACAAAATAACTTAAAGCAAAGTCTGAAACAAGTCTTTATATTACGGCCATCAGTCAAACAATACTGTTTGGTCTGGGTCTGAACAGAGCGTGTTGTGTGTGACATCAGCTTTTGCATATGCGGCCACGTTGAGCGTTCACAAAGGAGCGTGTTTGCTGTCACATTTTATTTGTAGTGTGAACAAGCAGACAAAAAATCGGAATTGAGCATTAAGACCTGCAGTGTGAACGTAGCCACAGTGAGTTCAGTGCGTTGATGTGACATTGTCCTGAAGGATTTAGTTATTCTCAGTGGTTAAAGAAATTGCAATTATTTATTCATATTTATTAGAAATAATCCTAATTATATATCTTGCTTCCATGTTTGTGTCCTGTGTCATAAAAATACATTTTTTACTATAATACATTGATTAATGACCTGCAGAATCTCCTTATCATATTACGTGTCCATAATTGTCACCTAAAGTCAAACTTTATGCTTTCTCCATCTTGAAAGTGATGACATCCTTGCATTACATACTTTAGTTTCATTTTCTGACGGCAGGTTTCTGAAAGAGAACAGGCAGATTTGGAATAACATGCAGCGTTCTATAGATGGATACATAAAAAAATGGAAAATTACATGTATGTGCTAACTTTCTAAACACTTTGTTACATTTATGATAAATGGATTTGAAAGTAGATAAAACACATTTATGTTGGCCTTGGCTCATTAGTCTTTGTCTTTAAATTAACTTGTATGTTTCAGGTCCTGCGCTCTCAAAGACTGAATGAACCAGCATTGCAGCCATGGGTCATTGTGAGCATCACAGGGAAGGTTGAAGCCGCCCACTGCACCTGTAAGGCCGGAGTCGTGGAGACCTGCAGCCATGTCGCTGCTCTTCTGTTTAATGTAGAAGCAACAGTGTGGATCATGGCACAAGGGCTGTTACAGATGAACCTGCATACTGGCTTTTGCCTGGTAATATGACCAAGATACAGCCAGAGGTTGGCCATAAGAT